GACCTTTTTGACACTTCATAACTACTTTGTCGATGAAAGGGTACTATGTTAGTTTTTGGTCAAGAACAACTTCAAGGTACTCCACTGTTTCTGTTACTGGAAACTGAGAGCCCATGACTTCTATATCACCTTTTGGAGGAATGTCGTGAGAAGGATACTATGGATGATTTGTGTGGTGATAGGCTGAATCTCAATGTGTTCGTTTCCTTGCATGATTGGAATCCTTTTTATCTAGGTAAACGACAAAGTCATCAGCATACTGTACGAGATTGTATGTTGGGTTAACCACGTGGATATCCCTAGTATATATGTTAAACAGGACTGCTAATGAAACTGATCCCTGAGGAAGGCCTACTGATACTTCTCATTTCCTCACCTACTCTCACCTCCTAGATGCCCAGCAGCAACGAAGTCGAACTGTACCTAGATCGTACTCAGCTTCCATATCAAACGCTCACAAGCGACTAGCAGAGGAACAATCAGCTTTCTCGCTAAATAATTCAAAAACTACCAATTTGGCAGTAATATTTTAATATGGCTCAGGCTTCTTGAACATATACTTTTGAATTATTTTAGTGATTGTTTCCCATTACACATAATATGGAAGAAGACCAATGCGACAGTATATACGGGCTTATATCTTTTGGAGCAATAAACATATACACAATAATAATAATGTTGATAGATGTAATTGCCATGAACTGCTTAATAATCTTTATAAATTGTGACTAACAAACAAGCACTACCTTAATGAACCTTGGTCAGTCTCAAAAGCATCTACAACCTATTCAGGGCTAAATTAGCATCTTAATACAACAAATGGTATTGCCAAATTTCAAGAGAATCAAGTAAATATTTTTCAAGATATTCATTTTTTTTTTAAATGTATCAACATGTATCTTGAATACTTTGCCTTTCCGGACTCATGTTTATACACTTTTCTTTTCATATTTTTAACAAGGAATCACCTTCTAAATTATCTTCGGGTATTTGATGAACACTCTGTATATACTATGTCTACAAGACAGTGTTTTTCTCCAAAATTACACAGTTTTAGTGCATATTTTTCGGCAAATTTTCCAATTCATCGGCATAAACTCTTTTCTTTGTGTAGAATATTCAAGTAGCCAAACGTACTGCGTGTACTCACATTATGGCAGGGCAGAAGTACTATCTGTGTTGCAATGCGAATCATTCAGCTACTGTCAATAAGCAGGGATAAATTAAATAAGGCAAAGAAATGAATTATTTTGGAAGGTGAAAGATATGCAAAATTTTAACTATGGGAATGGGAATTTAATTTGAAATGTCGACAACAAACTGGCGGCTCAAGCCTGATCGACTTGTACTAGCACTTGCATCCTGACTACTGATTACGTAATTTTAGTACAAAACAAATCGTATCCTAGCTCTTCCGACCTAGCCTGTATTCGTTGTCTACAATCTATAGGATACTACTAAACTTTGTAACACCTTACTATTTGAATTGCCAGCAAAACATGCAACTCTTCTTGCAGTACGTCTCTGTTCATAACACTCGCACCCCATGTTCTCTGTATTGACCGATGCCGTCGAATCATCTCGTCCATATAGATGGGGTGCCACTTAGCGTGTCAAATGGATTACAGGATTACTTACCCTCATATCAACATCAATCTTAACTGTGGTCAAGCTCGAGATCGCCAATTAGTCTTATTAGACATTGTGCAGTTTGAACTCGATCCTCTTGGCTGAATTCATTAAGGGCAGGGGGGCACTTCGGCACGCCTTACCATCACTTGACGATGCGCTATTATCTATAACTAGTGATTAGACGGCGGAAATAGGTTATTTCTATACAGAGTGTCTCAGAATACGTGTTCGATCTCTCGAATGCACGTAGATTGTAGAGCACCAAAAAGTTGCAAGTTGACAAATGAAAGTATTCTACGGGGCTCCTCTAGTTTTCTTTATACAATTCCGAGATAGTAGCAATCTACCTGAACGAAAAGAGGCATGCAGAGTGTAACTTCAGCAAGTGATATCTATTTAGGGCCGGGCTTCTTAGATCATTGGCAATTATGTCAAATACGTAGTCTTTTGGTCAAATAAGCAGTTTGAGGTTAGGAAAAAATTGAATTCAAGGTGACATTTCTCTTTTGTTACTAACCTAAACTGTATAGTAGTCAGCGTAGGACACTATAAGTTGAATAGATAAGTCACAACTTACAGGGTTTGGAACTTCTTTTCCCATATAGTTATAAATCCCACTTTTTCTATTTAGCTTTATGATTGTATTGGTCCTGTCACCAAGTTAGGTGGCAAATGGCGTTTTAACCTATTCACTATCTCATTATTAGATACATTTAATCGGTGTTTTAACCCTTTCACTAAGCGGCACGGGTATTTCGTAAAAAACTGTAAAACGTCAAAAAAACCATAAAATATCAGACTAGGTAGTTCTTAGGGTGCAAACAGTCATTCCACGTTTGCTAACTAGGATCGTTGTGAGCGTCCATCTATGGAGGAATGACTCAACTACACGCACTCTTGGTTGCATATTTTTTGTGAGACCGAGTAGTCTGCAGGGTTCATTTCTGAGAAGAAAGTTGGTTGAATAGCAAGATGGCATCTGGATGATTATGTGTATTGGTTTACATGTGTATAAAATCAGTGATATCTGATGTGTGAGAAAACCATTACTGAACATGCTGCCAATGAAGTATGTCTATTAGCTGTGCCCGATGGGTTACTTATATGTTGTCCGTTCTGAAGACAGGTTATGTTCAAAGTTATAAATTCCGATTTCATACGACTATTTGTGATGTCAAAGACTCTGAGGAGAATCACGGGACATCACCACGTGTATGACTTGTAATTCGACAGTGTACAGTAAATATAATTGTTTGTTATCTCTCTCGCTTTGAATCTCAAGTAAATGTGCATTGCCGTTTCCTTCTAGCTATAGTATACAACTTACAGCTTAGACCTCCAGTAATGTCATCTCTGAGGCAGATCTTACATCACATCAGAGCTAAACATGACGTTTAGGCAATACGTACAACTACAAAACAAGTTTACAATGTTTGTGTCCATCAGTCAGTGCTAAGTTGACATCTTGTAGAAAAACCTACATAATGTCACAAAAAAACAATACAATGTAAAAAAAATCGACATGTCACTTTTCAAGATACGTAATACCCCTGCTGGTCACTTCTTTGATGGTAGAGAGGTGAGAGGTACATGCATAGAGAATCATTCTCTGAACTTTGTTCTGAAAGCGCTGGAAGATGCCGATTAATAGCTTGTTGTGTATTTCCTATCAAGAATCCGATACACATATCTCTGATTTAGATGCCCAGTTGTTTCCTTTTTGAGAAATTACGTATATAAGCTCGTATATAAGCTTTGAACAACAGTTGATGCCCAAATCAACGAAGTTTTGATATTGTAACCTAAACTCCCACACTATGATATCTACTGAAAATGATTGATTCGTTTATACAGGATCTTCTATTGCTTCAATCTGCCTATATTATCAAAAGTACTGTATTTTTTCGAATTAATAGATTCCATCCTGTATCGTTCATGACTAGCAATTAAACTTGCACCCAAGCAAGATTATGTTTCTCAAAAACGACTCACACTATAGATTTCAAACAAAAAGCATATTCAAGCAGGATCTCGGACTTTCAAAAATATGAATTTTGGGCCATCATCATACAAGATGAGGACATTGAAAGAACTGGTAATATTGCATTAGCGATAGACAGCAGCTCATGATCGAAGCGAGCTGTTTTTATGAACACCTTGTTGTGAGGCTCAAACTGGTTAGTATGCTGTCAGCAAATTGATGTATTATGTCAGGTTCATTGTTGAAAGACAATCGATTTCCAGTGTTTTCTAATTTTGGAATACATGCATCGTACGTCCAAAGGCAAACCTCACTGAAGATTTTCTAGTAGGAACGTGTGTGATTATTGTTTGTTGTATTCTGTATGCAACTAGGAGCCTGAGAACTTATTCAGGAACACCCTGGATCGTATACCATTTTAGATCATCACAGGAAGAGATAATAGTCCGATAAATAAAGAAAATTGCCTCTCGAAAGTTGTCTTTGAACTTCGCCTATCGGTAAACATCCCAAAACTGCTATTATTTCAAATCTTTTCAGAGCTTATTCAACGAAAAAAGTCAACTAGACCGACTCAGTATACCCCACGCGTTCCCGTTCCTTGTCAGAAAACGTTACTTTTTTGTTTGGTAAAATGATAGGACCCATTGGCCTGAATTCACAAGATCGGTGCATCCGTTTCTGAGATGTCGCGGTTATAATAAAGAAGTCAGACTGATAAACAAACCGATACAAGTGAGTGACATGACTTATACTGAATAAAAAAAATTATTTTTTAGTTAAAAAGCAAATTTTTTTTAAAAAGACGAGAAGACCCTATAGAGTTTTATATTTGAAATTTTTAATTTTTTTAGTATATAAATTTTAAATTTTTTGAATTATTTAATTGGGGTGATTAAAAAAATAACTCGACCTTTTTTAAATTTTTAATCATCAATGTATGTATATTATGATTAATAATTATAAGATAAAATTACCTTAGGGATAACAGCGTAATATTATCAGAGAGTCTTATCGAAGATAAAGATTGCGTCCTCGATGTTGGATTAAATTTAATTTTTGGTGTAGAAGCTGAAAATATTAGGTCTGTTCGACTTTTAAAATTTTACATGATCTGAGTTTAAACCGGTGTGAGCCAAGTTGGTTTCTATCTTTAATTTAAATTGTAATATTTTAGTATGAAAGAATTAAATATTAAAAATAATTTTAGTATTTAGAGTAAAATTATTATTTTGGCAGAATAGTGCATTGGATTTAGAATCTTTATATGTAATTTATTTTACAAATAATACTTGAATTTAAAAGATTTATTTTTGATATTTTTCCAAGGTTAGTTTTATTAGTTTGTGTTTTAGTAGGGGTGGCTTTTTCCACTTTATTAGAACGAATGGTTTTAGGGTATATTCATATTCGTAAAGGTTTGAGTAAAGTTGGGATGTTGGGTTTAGTCCAACCGTTTGGGGATGCAATTAAGTTATTTACTAAAGAGCAGACTTTGCCTTTGATATCAAATTTTAATTTGTATTATTTTTCTCCTGTTATATTTTTTTATGTTTGTTTTGTGGATTTGCGTACCTTTTTTTCTGTAAATTTAAGATTTAATTTACCAATATTATTTTTTTTTGAGAATTTCGAGGTTAGGTGTTTGCACTGTAATATTAGCAGGTTGTGCTTCTAATTCAAATTATGGAGTTTACGTGCTGTGGCCCAAACAATTTCATATGAAGTAAGTTTAGCTTTAATTTTATTATCATTTTTATATTTAATTTTATAAAATATCAGAATAAGACTTGATTTATTTTTTTTGTTATTACCTCTATCTTTGATGTGGCTAGTTTCAAGTTTAGCTAGGAGTAATCGAACTCCCTTCGATTTTGCCGAAGGGGAATCTGAGTTGGTATCTGGGTTTAATGTTGAGTATAGGAGAGGAGGATTTGCAATAATTTTTTTAGCTGAATATAGAAGAATTTTATTTATAAGTTTAATGTGTTGTATAATATTTTTGGGTGGTGATATTTATACTATAATATTTTTTTTTAAAATTGGTTTTTATTTCATTTTTTTGAATTTGGTTTCGCCGAACTTTAATACATTTAACTTGAAAAAGTTATTTGCCTACTACATTAAATTATTTTTTTTTTGGTTAAAAATATGATCATAAGGTACTCAAAAAAAGTATCACAACAATTAAACAATGTTCACTAGCATAATATATCTTTTATGAGTCGGCAAAGAACTGCTCAAAAAGGTTTCCCATAGACAAACCTTTCCGGACTCAAGATTTTATCATTACATTTTGATTAATAATAATAATAATAATAATAATAATATTTATTTACTCTAAAATACAGGGAACATGAAACGAGTAAATAAATATAATATATCCATAGGAGGACAACGCCTGTGCATGGATCATATGTATGTTGAATTGCAAAATATAATAAAATAGAGAGAACAAAGAAATTATTGGTAAGAATGGTAGAGCATTTATTGTGTAATACTTGAGATTATTTTATTAATTTGATTTCTCCCAATCGTGTTAATAAATTTTTTTAATTTTTTTTTGAAGCGTAATTGTTTTAAATTATTTGGTAAATGTTCGTACAATTTTGGAGCTATATACAGGTGACATCGTTTCATTAGGGATTTGTTTGGTTTAGGAACATTTTTTGCGCGTAATTTATATCTGGTTTTATGATTATGTTTAATTATGTCGCGTTCACTAATAGTTTTGTGATAATGAGTGATGGTATGTAAGAAGTAAAGTTGTTTAGTATCATATACTTGTGCATCATTATATAAGTCATTAGTTGGGTATAATTTTGATTTGCCTAACATTGTTTTTAAAATTCTTCTTTGAAGTACATCTAAATCGTTAAAGTATGTCGTGCATGCAGCACCCCACACTACTATACCATATTTTATGTGTGGCTCGATTAAAGCTTGATATATTATTCGTAGATAATATTCAGTTAATATACCGGTTAGAAATTTTATTTTATATGCTATGAATCTAATTTTCTTTAGTATGTGAGAAATATGTACATCCCATCTCAAGTGGGGATCTAGATAAATTCCTAAATATTTTGTATCATTAACTCTATTGATTTTTATATTTTTATCATTTACCTTAAACCGAAGGTGGTTATATTTTGGTAGATGATTAGATAGTGATGAAAATGGTAAAAAATGAGTTTTAGTAAAGTTAATTGTTAATTTCCGGTTATTAAACCACTGAATAATTTTGCAAAAGTCATTTTGGATAATATCTTTTAAGTCGTTCCAATCCTTACCTTTATAGAGTATAGCAGTATCGTCTGCAAAACTGACTATTTTACCAGTACTGTTAATTTTGAATATATCGTTTAAATAAATATTGAATAACAGAGGACCCAAAATTGTACCTTGTGGAACACCACATTTAACAAACATTTCTTTACTATACGAGCTTAATAATTTTACTGATTGTGGTCTATTTGATAAATAATTTTCCATTAAAGTATACATTTTTCCACGAAAACCTATTCTTTCTAAGATTTTCAAAAGTATATTGTGGTTAACTGTGTCAAACGCTTTTTGTAAGTCCACAAATACGCATATCGATGGTACTTTTCCATCTATATTTTGGGTTATTTCATCTACTATACTTAATACCCCATCTGTTGTAGATTTGCCCGCTATAAAACCATATTGATTTGAATTTAGAATTTTGAATTTATTAAGAAAATTAATCATTTTATTAAGGAGTAATTTCTCAAAAACTTTAGCTAAACTTGATATAAGTGAAATAGGTCGATAGTTAGTGACGTCCGTATTATCATTAGATTTATAGATAGGTATGATGATTGCTGTCTTGAAAGCTGATGGAAATACTCCAGATTGGAAGGATTTGTTAATGATATAAGCAAGTGGTTCTGTTATTTGTTTGGCCAGTATCTTTAGATGTTCAGCTCTAATTTCGTCAACTCCAGGGCTTTTTTTATTTTTTAGAGTCATAATGGCATTGAAAACATCCTGATAGTCTACTTCAGTTAATACAAATGAATTATTCAGTCTTGTTTCATGCAGATGAATATCAGCATTTTGTTTGATATTATTTGCTAAGTTTCCTCCTATATTCGTGAAAAATTCTATGAACTCATCACATATTTGCTGAATATTGTCTGTTTTCTGTCCTGTTTTTGTTTTTATTTCATTAATATTGTTTTTTGAATAGGATGACTTATTGAATATATCATTGACAGTGGACCATAGGTGTCTAGAGTCATGTGAATTATTATTCAATTGTTTTATATAGTAATTTTTTTTTGCTTTTCTCAAAAGTTCTATAAATTTGTTTTTATACTGATTATAATGATCTATATTTTCTTTCGTGGGTAAATATTTCATGATTTTATACAGTTTTTCTTTTTCGTTTGCAGATTTTATTAGTCCTTTGGTCATCCAATCATTTCTGCTTTTTTCCTTGTGACTTATTTTAACCTTATTAGTACTAACTGCAATTACTTTTTGAATTTTGTGTATTAATAAATTTGTAGCTTCGTCTAAAGAATTTGTTAAAAAAATTTCGTCCCACGATTCCGTTTGTGCGTTAAATATTAATTTTGAGTTGTCAGTGAAATATTTGTATTCAAGGTTCCTTTCATTTTTTGCCCTTGGGCAGTTCTGGTTTTTATTTTGTGAAGATATCAATAATACAGTGGAATAATGATCTGTAATATCGGTTTCATAGATAATAGGTATGTAAGAAAAAATATTGGAAATATCCTTTATAAAGCAGTGATCAATGCAGGTTTTACTGGTGGGTCGTGTTACTTTATTTATGTATGATAAAAAGCCATTACTTGATAAAATGTTTAAATATTCTTTCACCATAGAATTTTCCTCTAAAATGTTTATATTGATGTCGCCTATAAATATTTGATTATGAAGGTGATTGTTTTCATTGTTTTTTAATAGTTCATCTATGTCTCTTATAAATGTATGAGGATCTGAAGATGGTGGTCGGTAAACACAAGTAATTTTGACTCTACGATTTTCAATTTGCATTGTTAGATTGATACCTTTTAGTTCATTGTTGATTGTAAATATGGTATGTTTATAAGGCAGATTGTTTCGTACATACACCATCACTCCATCGTTTTGATTATGCTTACCAAAATTATACAATGTATCGTACCCTTCTAAATGAAACAGAGTCACATCGCCCACTTGCCATGTTTCGGATAGAATGATTATATCTATATCACTTTGTATTCTTTTCAAAATTAATTTAAAGTAGTCAAAGTTATGTTTTATACTTCTGATGTTCATATGATAAATTCTAACAGATATTTCAGGATTTTGTAAAAAAGAATCTAGCTCGCTAGTATCATGAGCAGTATTAGTACTAATACGTTGAATTTGGAAGTTATTTACATAGTCGTGTGTCATGAATGATGCAATATTCTAAAATTTTGGCTAAAATTTCTTCTATCTTAAAAAAGGATTTTCAAGTTGTACTGCTGTTGATAATATAGAAAAGTTGGACATTTTTTATCTAATGGTGAGTGGTTGGTACTATAATTTTTGTTATATCTATAGTTTGAAAATTTGCAATTACAACATACAACCGGTTCATGCTTACAACAGTCAGTATCGTGTACATCCTCTTTGCTGCAGTTGGTACAGGTCTTGTTATTGCGGCATTTTTTCTCGGTGTGATTGAAGCGAAGACACTTCTTGCATTGCGTTATTTCGTTATTATCATACACTGGTAAACATTGCCATCCAAGAAGAATTTTTCCATTGTTATCTTCAAATATTGTCCTGAATAATTTGCCAGAAATGTCTGCAAATAATGTGTAACATTTTTTCGATGGGAGATACTTTACATATTTGATTTTGATGTCATCTTTTTCAATAAAATGATTTTGTTGGATAAGATCTAATTCTATGTCTTCTTCATGTGGTTTCTCCGTGCATCTATAATTGACAATTTTGATCTTCGGTCTAAACATTGTAGGTTCTGTGATTTTGTATTCATCTCCTAATTTCTTTTCGAATTGAGTTTTGAGTGTGTTGTGGTGTTCCTCAGCCAGTTTAATTATAATTCCTCCATTTTTAGAATTTCGTATATTTTCTATTTGTATTTTCAAATCCGTAAGGCTAATTTTTTTGTTAAGGTCTTTTCTCGTTTGTTCAGATGTTTGGATACCATTTGGTGTGACAATTATGTTCTTCATTGGGTCTTTCTTGATTGTTGGAGTATCTCGCTTTAGTACTTGGGCATATGATTTCTCTTTAATTTTCTCAATTTCAGTCAATCTTTGATTTATTTTATTTATCATTGTTTCAACGGTACCTTTTTCGTGTATGGCTGATGTCGCTAAATTGTACTGTTCTTGTAGTCTTCCATTTTCATTGCTCAACTGTAGTATTAGTTTATCCTTTTCTTCTAATATCTGTTTTAAGTGTTTATTTTCTTCTAGAATCTTCTGAGTGTCCAAGTTTCCATCAATGTAAACTTCCATTGTATCTGATTTTTCCGTTGAGATCTGGTTTTTAACTTTTTTCTTCGGCATCATGCATATATATCAACTCAGCAGCAGCAACACTCAGTATAGCGTGAAGCCACAGTTGAAATATTACTTTTATTGGTCCTGAAGTTGACACAGCTTGACAGTTTCCTTTGGTAGT